TAAGACCATTGGGAGAGTAGCAGATGTCAGGAAAATTTGTCTGGAATTACACCAGACCTGAAACCTGCCCCACTTTTACAGGTAAGTACAATGGGTAGCAGATTTTCTACTGTGTTGTATAGTTCCTGTACCTCGTCAGAGCAGGGCCTTTGTATGTGCTGGAACCTGAAGAAACCTTGAGTCAGAGTATCTGCAGACTGAGATGGAGAGCACATCCTTCGTTCTGCGAGAGGAGGTATAGAGTGGGTTGGAGAGAAATTGGTGGGCACATCGCCAATTGTCACAGGTAATGGTACCACATCTATCTCAGCTAAGAAGGCGCTATCAGTATGATGTTTGCTCTCTCTCTTTTTATTTTTAACAGGACTTTTGATAGTAGAGCTGGACCAGGCTACTGTGTAGGCTGCATCAAGCGCTGATTGGAGCACTGTCTTGGCCACCAGTTGTCCCTCACTAACAATGGCCCAAAACTGTTCGTGGTGTGACTCCAGGAGCTGATCAATAAATGTGTTTAAGCTTGGTATAATCGACTTAATCATATTTTGCTGCCAGAGCTTGAAAGTTTGCAATTCATAATTGCAGTGTGGCAGAGGAATAGGCCTTTTTCCCCAAACAGGTTGAGGTGCTTCCAATCCGTATCATAGGGGGTGGAGCTCACCTGGTGTCGGCGACCCTGTGGATTTACTATGTCCACCACAATGGAATTAGAGGTGGGCAGGAAAAAGAAATTCCATATCCCTAGCCGGGCTAAAATATTTCTTACCAGCACATTTACAGGTGGGCATGACCAATGTTAGGGTTTGCCATATGAGTCCAGAAGGGCTTCGCTGATTGGGAGGGCTATTCTGGAGGAAGAGGAGGAGTGCAAGATGTCCAAGAGTTTACAATGTGTGTCTTTCACTTCCTCAAGGATATCTGCAACGTGTCTGCCACCCTTTTAGCTAGATCTTGAAACAGCCTGAAGTCATCAGCTAGAGATGGTGTGGGGGCATAACTGCCTCATCTGGAGAGGAGGAAGAGATGTTTGTCTGTGCTGTGACTTCCTCCTCAAATCTGCCTTCCTGTTTCTCCATGATCTCCTCTGGAGGTTTAGAGGTTCTGGATGCTGTGGTTGAGGGAGAGTGCCTCAAGGGTTTACGGTGGGTCACGCTGGATGCTCTGGAGGCATGGAGACTGTATGCCACCCAGGGATCCCAGTATAGCAACTGAGGCGGTGGAAGGGGTCCCGGTGGTGGCACCCATGGTTGGCCGTACCACAGTGGTTGAGGAGCAGATGGAGAGTATGACTGAGGGGGCCCAGGTTGATAGAGAGCATTATAAGGAACAAAGAGTGGTGAAAGAGGGCCTCCTCCTGTTCGCTATCTGATTCACCACTGGAGAATGGGCATGCATGACATGGTGCACCAGTGGAGATTCCCGCACCTGAAGTAAACTCAGTACTGGAGACCTGGTACAAGCAAGGGAGACTCTGGTATGTCAGATACCATGAGGGCTATAGAGTGTCTCTAGAGCAACAATTCTAAAACTCTAAGTCGGGACCCCAAAGTGGGTCGTGACCCTGTTTCAATGGGGTCTCCAGGGATGGCTTAGATTTGCTGGGGCCCAGGGCCAAAGTCTGAGCCCTACCACCTGTGGCCGAGGCCCAAGGACTTTGGCTTTAGCCTCCCTGCCCAGGGTGGCTGGCTCAGACTTCAGTCCCACCTCTTAGGGTCATGTAATAATTTTTGTTATCAGAAGGGGGTCACGGTGCAATGAAGTTTGAGAACCCCTGCTCTAGAGTGTCCTAACTGGTGCCGATGGTGATTACCAGTGGGCCGGCAGTTTGGAAGGATCAGGGATCTTGGCCATACTGAGCGCTCCAAGGCTGGATGGCTCACTGTTGATGGTACTGATGGTAAGACTTGTACTGGCAGTGTCTTCTTAGAGAAGGTGCGGTCTCTGTCCTTGCCTTTATCTGTCAGTACCATTGCTTCAGTGCCTATGCCCATCAGGTCCTTACACGCATCAATGATACTTGCTGCTTCAGACCCTCATGAGCTATGGGTACCGTGTTTAGACTATCTTGGTACTGACGATACCAAAAGTGCCAGTGATCTTTTTTGTCAAACTCAGGGATCACTCTAGGGAGTCACAGGTCTCTTTTTTGAAGCCTTACGTGTGGGGCTGTTTTCTTCGACCCATGGTCCTTAGATGTCGAGGATTGTCGGGCAGATTCGTGCCATCAGGCGACTCCTGGTGCAGGTCCAGGGAAGGCTGAAGAGCTGCCTCCATGAGGAGGAGTTCTAGTCTCAGTTCTCTGCCCTTCCAAGATCTGAACTTGAGTTGCTGGCAGAGACTACACTTTTAGGAAATGTGGTTTCCCCCCGATACAGCAGGAATGTCTATCCATTACAGGGATGCCCTACTTGCATGAGAGGCACATCTTAAAGCTCAGTGAACAAGATGTACTCTGGGCAACCCCAGACAAAGGGGAAAATAAAAAGTTTTTTTCCCCCCTTTTTCAAGAAAAAGAAAATAAAGAAAGCTCTACAACTAAGAGAAAAAGGACTAACTACTGAAGTGCTAAGAGAGAGATAACAATCCAATGAATGGACTGCTAATAGCTCAGTCTCTAGCCAGATGTGGTTGAGAAGGAACTGAGGAGAGTTCGCCCGTGCATGCTGGTTATCCTCCTGGCAGAGTATCAGGCAGGGACAGCGCATGTGTGGGCCAAATGGACACGGATTTAAAGTTCTCTAAACGGCAGTGCAGGGACGCAAGCGCGCCTATACCAGACACTATTTGAAGAAGATAATATTGAGTAAGAATTCAATAACACGTTGTAAATTGCTGTTTACAGGTCATGTGTTTGCAGCTTCAATGCAGCAGTCACAGATAAGGTGCTATAATATACCAGGGGCTCATTTACCAGGGACAAGTACAACATGTCAAACTCTTAATATGCACAGACCAATGTGTGAACAAGAAAGTCAGTACTAAACACAAAGAACTTTATTTACAAAAGCCCTGGATTCAAGGGATCCATATTTCAAACTGTTAGAGAATCACACAGCACCCAAAATGCTTTATTTGGATCAACAGTTCAGAGACTTATGAATAAAGGACAAAAACCTTATTATCAATATCTAACAAGCTTCCTGAATCAAAGACAATTAACCATAAAGCTATTTCAAAAGAACTCAGAGAAAGGAAAATGGAACAGAAGAAATATATTTAAAAAGATGCCCCATTACCTCTACTGCAAGTGGAGAGGAATGTTGGATTCCAAGCAGAACATGGTTGACAACCTACCAAGGTAGCAGCTATAACACCAGCATCAAGGTAACAACATTTGGGCAGGGGCAAGGACTGTTATTTACTTTATTTTATACAGTGCTTAGCACAATGGGGTCCCAACCTCTTTGGCTTCCAGGTGCTACCACAATAGAACTGTTAAATATGCATCATAACCACTCAATGGGTCAATTCTGACCCTTACTTAGATGAGTAGGGCTAAGAAAGAAAAGTAAGTAATGTATGGTAGTAGCTTGATTCTGGCTGAGATTTTATAACAACGATATTAACCATGGGTGGCAGATACCTTAGGCTGGGGGAGGCTGTGCCTCCCCAAACAGCGGGGCATGGCCCTGCCCAGGCTCCACCCCCAGGCCTCCCCAACCCACTCTGCATGTGGCTCCAGTCCTCCTGTGCGGTGGCCTGCGCCGCCCACCCTTCCGGCGCTCCAAGGCTTCGGGGCAGGGGCAGCAGCTGCCCGCTGCCTGCCCTCCTGGTGGTCTGGGGCTGGGGGTCTAGCCTAGGCCGGGGGCCAGTGGCCATGGTGAAGAGGGGCTCTGGACTCCAGCAGTGGGGATGGAAGGGACGGAGACTCAGGTGGAAGGAGCGGGGCTGGAGGCTAGCATCCCCGATCCAGCGGTTCACGCGCCGCCCATGGTATTAACATTATGAATAAGATAAGGATTGAGGCCAAGTCTACACTACAAACTTACATCAGAATACCTGCATCACTCAGGGGGTGTGAAAAATCCACTCTCCCGAATGACACAGTTATACCAACCTACCCCCAGGTGTCGACAGTGCTATGTTGACGGGAGGGCTTTTCCTTTTGACATAGCTACTGCCTCTGATGGAAGTGAATTAACTATGCCAACAGGAGAAGCTCTCCCATTGGCATAGGAGTGTCTTCACTGAAGCGGTACAGGGGCGCAGCTGCACTGATGTAGCTGCACTGTTGCAGCTTTTTAAGTGTAGACCTGCCCTAAGAGTATAAGTGGCAATTGGCTCTATTGAAGTCATTAGAAATACATTGATTGACACCAGCTAAGGATCTGGCCCATAAAGTGCAATTAATTTGAAGAGATAAAATATATATTTTCTCTCTCTTTGTCTTTAGCTCAGTAGGTTTATTAGGTACCCACTGTTTTTTTTCAGTCTCTAAGGATGATGAAGAAAGTTTAAACTGATTAAAATGGGAACTACTCTCTTATGAATCCTGAATGGAAATGGAATGACCTTAATCATTTACTTAGTATTTTTCAGAGGACAGAAATGTGGAAAGTGTTACATCAGCTACTGTGGGAAAAAGGTGTGGTTGAACATGTGTATGTTAAAACCCAAAGGTATATGTATGCATTTCTTTGGAGTATGTGAAAATAGTGATGCCAATTGTCTCTCCTCTCAAACAGCGGAAGGATTAGTAAGGAATTGCCAGAGCATTTTTTTTCATCCTTCCTTGTTTGTGCTATATTTTGACTTCAGTTGCTGTTTTAGTAGCTTAGAGAGTTGTAAAACTGTTATTAATACTCTACATGGTTCAAATAATAATTATGTCTTTAAAGTAACAAAATGAAAGCCATTTTGCAACACAGGTCAGTATTAAGACATGGAATTCAGCAAACACTAACCACAGTAATGGCCATTCTCTTTTGTTCCAGCTTTTAAAGAACATGAAATTGACTTTCCAGTATAACATGGCTCAGAATCAAAAAGCAAAGCAGAACAAATTAGTATTACAGGTTTATTAGATCTTAAAATATAGAAACATATTCCAACAACACATTTTAAAGAATAATATAATTTTCCGTTTCTTATTCTCAAAATAGTACATCATTATTCAAAAATATATTACTTAATGTACACCAAATTCAGTTTCCATTAAATTTTATTTAGAATAAATTGAATTCAAAACATCATAACCATTTACCTGATTCATAAACAAACCCATAACTTTTCTGAAAGTATCCCCCATGCAGTTTAATGTTCATTATCTAAGTGGTCCCCAAACAGCAATTCACTGAAGAAACTTTATTAATATACCTTATTGTACATGAACTGCAATTAGACATAGTTATGGAGGTACATAAAGTATAAAATAGTAATTGAAATGTAATGTTTGGAGAAAATGCTATGACTGAAAAAAAGAAACCCACCCTGTTTAATTTTTCAAAAAGTTAAGTGTATGTTTAACAATTTAAGACAATACTCCAACAGTGAGATAAAATAAATTAGTTTCTGCAAAACACACACATACCTGATTATATTATTCTGCAATAGTCTGTGTTTTGTGGAATGTGCATTAAATAACCATAGAAATCGGGATTTAAATGAAAAGATTCTGTAAGGCATGAGAAATGTTCTATTCATTTTAAATAACACTCTAATATAGCAATATTTCTACTGAGGCAATTCCCAACAAAACTATATAAAATAATGATTGGTTGTAGAGATGGGAAATCAGGACCTTCTATTCTCCCATAATAACATGGGGATATTCAATGAAATTAAAAGATGGTAAATTCAAAACCGATAAATGAAAATACTTTTTCATACAATGTGCAATTAGACTGTAGAACTCACTGCCAGAAAATGTAATTGAGGCAAAAAACTTAGCAAGACAATAAAAGGGATTGGACATTTATATGGTAACAGGAATATCCAGAGTATAATAGTTAATGCAAACAAGTTTTGGAAGAGATAGTAAGATTAGAGATTAGGAGAGGACCTATTGTGCACAGAGATTATCCTAAAAACTGCCATATAAGGTTTCTTTCACCTTCATCTAAAGCACCTGCTGTTGGCCACTGTCAGAGACAGGATACTGCACTAGACTAACCACAAATCTGACTACGAATGGCAATTCCAATGTTCCTAAATGCCTTACCCAGCAAGAAAAGGAAGCTAAGGAAAACAGATTTTCCAGATTTTAATCTTTTACACATTGCACACATATATTAATTCTTGCCCATATGGTAAGGTGGCTCAGGTGAGTGTGGAGTTTTTTTGTTTTTGTTTTTTTGTTATTAAACACACACAAAATCTGCAGCAGTAGTCTTAGAGATAACAAACTGACAATTTATTTGAGGAAAGAAGGTTGTACTACAAGTGTTTAGTGTTAACTTGGAAAGCTATAGGCACAGACTCAAGCCGATCTCCACAGAATTCCTGAAGCTTTGAGCCTTTTGCAAAATTCCACAAGCCAAGACGTAACATGTTCCTCCAGTTACACCGATTCTGTTAAAGAAAATAGCTATAACAATTATGTGCAGTCTTTCAGCTTCTATGTTCTACCTACTGTTTGTTTATTTAAACACTGTTCAACATTTCAATTTGTCTAATGGAGAAAAACTTCTAAAAGAAAAATTATGTTTAGCCAAGCATTTTTTCTTCAGTTTCTTTTTTTAGTGCCTTTTCTAAATAAATATCCAAGTATATATTTCATTTGCACAACATAACCAAATGTATTCAATTTCCTTTAACAATATAACAGTCACAGGAGTTCTGGGCTTTCTAACTTAAAAAAAAAAACTATACAAAGGTCTTACTTTAAAATGTTGAAATGGACAGAAAAAGGTCTCAGTGAGATCGATTGAAAAACAGCTTTGGAGGTTCTCCAACATAGTAAGGTGACCCATAAAATAAACTGTTTTGAAATTTCACCCATAGAAAAGAAACTATATACCTTTAAATAAATAAACGCTACTATATACATTACTGTACATTAAATGAGAGATGGCATGAAATGGAATAAGTTTAGGGATGCCTTTTCACTAGCAAGAATTGTATTTTGACTTGATTACAATTCTGAACAAACACTGGGTGTGATTTTTTTTTCTTGTTTTTTATTCTAGTGGCAGCCACACGAACGCACCACCATATTTCTGTATTTTTTCAAAATAACATTGGAACTGTCATCAAAGTAGAGCACTGAGATTGCATTCAGTTTTGTAGGTGCACAGCATGGCTTAGGTACGTGATCAGGGAACATCAAATGAACCTGAAAGAGAGAGAGCGAAATTGCTTATAGACCAAAATAGAAAGATGTAATGGCAAATCTATGGAAAACACAACTATTCAATTTGCAGAGTTCTGTAGTTACAGCTTTTTTTCATTTAGCAACTTTCATAAAAAACTCACCTCCAGAATGCTCTACTGATTTACATAATAGAGTTATACAATAATAGCAGATGGAGAGATAAATTAGGAGGAATAGCCAAGAGAGAAAATTGGTTTTCAGATGAGATTTGAAAAAGAAATGGAGATAGGTCCTGATTCAGGAAAGCACTTAAACATGTGGTTAATACCATCACTATTCAGAACAGAATTTGAGCATTTGCTTAAGTCCCTGATTTAACTAAACTGTCTTCCTGAATCAGAGCCTCAATGGGGAGGGAGAAAGGAAGTTTGTTCCATACAGCAAATGTAGAGGCAAAGGCTCTCACATAGAATGTCTGGATTCTATGACGATTCTAAGAACATGTTTCTCTTTCAGCATCTATATATTTTTAAGGTGTCTATTGCCTTGGCATCTGTGATCCCACTGAAGTCAATGACAATTTTGTCAGGGGAAGCAGAATCAAGCCAAAAGATGGGTGTCAGATGCAGTGAAGGGTAAAGAGAGGTTATTCTCTGAGGTAGGCTGCAGTACTCCAATGGAATGTTAAATAAAAGAAAGGCAATTTTGAGCAGCATCTCAAAATGAATGGAGATATAGTGAAAATAACTGAAAATAGGGGCAACTAAACATACTTTCTCTATCCTTCAAAAAAGGCTGGAAGTAATTTTCTACACGTCTGGATAGCTGGAGACTGGGGAGGCCAGAGAGAAGGGAGTTGTGATAGAGAGGGCAAGAGACTATTACGGTATGGATGAAGACTTCAACAGTAATGGGTTTCATTTGTATGTTAAGTCTTTTAAAATCTGTTATAGCCATCTTTCTAGCAGTAATATAAGCCGATGGTCTTTGCCAGACCAAGAACAGTCAATCAGGAAGTGATTTTTATGTAACTGTTACCATGAGAAGATCTTTTGAAATGAGCAATAATAAATCCCAAAGTATTAGTTTAGTAAGGATGTAGATACACACACACACACACACACACACACCCCTACCTCAAAACTGATTAACTAATGACAAGCAAAATATTGGAGAAAAAAAAATATTGTCCTCTTGCTAAGCAGACATTTGCCCAGAGCCAGCCTCTGGATTCTATCAAGCCCACAGCCACCAGCATCCCAATTCTGGGAACCCCGTGTGGGTGTTGGGGCTAAATTTGGCTTTCACTAAATACATTTCTTGCCTATTCCATTGTAAAGATAGTTTTGAAAATGTAAGTTAGTCATGAGGATTTGGAATTTGTCGCAGTGATTTTATCTCCTCCGCCCGTGCAATTTCTACTCAGAGCCATCCAGGGTCAGCCTCCGGAGCCTTTGAACCCCTTAGCTTTGAGTTCTGTGATATTTTAGGGATGCCAGTCCTGCTGCTGAAGAAGCTAGTGTCTCCACAAGCTACACCCTGGCTGCCTGCCAGTGAGCCAGCTCCTCTTTTAAGCAGCTAATTTGGCCTCCCACCACTATAGGTCAGAGAAGGGGAGCAGGTTTGACAGTTCAGCAGCGAGAGTGGCAGCTTGACCTGGAGGATTAAATGCAGAATTGGAAGCAAGGAACTCCTGCTCATGAATTTTGGCTCTGACACTACTGCATATATGGCCCTGATCAAATCTCTTAATCATTCTGCCTTACTTTCTCCATCTCCAAAATGGAAATAATAATTAGAGATGGAACAAAAGCCAACCCCTGGATCTGAACACACACGTCCTTTCAATGTGCAGCATCCTGATTCAAATTTTACAATCTCTAATAATACTGATACTAGTATTTGTACTGTAGTGAGGATTCACTTTTTAAATGTTTAAAAAGCATTATTAAGGTGGAATTTTCAAAAGCATTCAGCATTGGCCTAACTCTGCTTCCACTGAAGTCAATAGGAGTTTACCCACGGATGTCAGTGGGAGCAGAGTTAGCTCTACTCCAGCGCTTTTTTGACTCCTATGGATACACCTTAGAAAAAGCAGCTTAGCCCCATGCGGAAATGAAGATGTGCTGGACCAAAGATTGTTACAAAACAAACCAAAAAGTCAGTTATATTTGGAAGGGTTTCAAGGAACAATCTTGTCCCAAAACGAAGCTGCTTTTTCAGAATGGTGCAATCACCATGGACAGGAGTTGATTACATTTGGATTGGGGGAGAGTGTATGAATAATTGTTTCCCGAACTCCCCCTGTGTGAACACCTTGAGTAAATCTAAATAATCTGTATAATTTCAGACAAAGTGTTTGGCTATTGCTGACCCAGCTAATTTATGTGCACTTAAAATTCAATTAGCCCCATGGATATTTGGCTGCCCAATAGAATGCATGTGCAGTACAATTTGAACCCCCTGCCCTTAAGAAACTATGGGGGATTTCAGCAAAAACTAGGTGCACACATGAAAGTTGCCCTGCTATGTTTTACCTTGCATGACACGTAATTGCATGAGAGAAACTGTAATCTCATGTCTCATTGAAGCTTGGCAACTTTTCTAGGCAATCTTTGCCATAATAGCTGAAGAGAAATAACAGTTTATTATTGTAAATGTGTTTTTCTTCATCATCACCACATATGCACATTGCCATAGTTCTTGCCAAAGAGCATTACTTTCCCTCTCCAAATGAATCCCTTTCCCACAGCCCATTGCTTACTTCCACCTTTGACTCCCTCCCCTCCTCCTGTCCCCTTCTGCCTCTCTGTGCAGGATCTTGCTGGCTTGAATGTTGGGATGGAAGAATATAAGGTCATTGGCTCTGTAGCTGGGGACTGCCGGGGGTCAGGGGATTGAATGGTGGGAGGAGAAGAGGCACATTTAGTGTATGTTAAAAATGGAACTAACAAGAAATGTGCCTGCCATGATCCCAGTCACCCTGCTTGTCTATTGTAGCTCTTTCCCCTGTCCTTCATCGGTCTGTCTTTTAATTATACATGCTGTGCAGAGCATGGGCAGTGGGTCATATTCTCAGCTGGTGTAAATGAAAAATGAGAGCCTAACATTAGACTCCTATGTCCATATTTAGGCACATAAATAAGTTCCCCTGATTTTTTGAACTGCTGAGCACCCAGAAGCTCCCACCGAAGCTTTCCTAGGGGACTGTTCCAGCAAATGTAAGTCAGAACATCCCATGGCGCTCCATCTTGTGCTGGGCTGGCTTGACCCCCAGCTGGAACCAGGACCGGGAGAGGTGGAAAGGTGGCTGTAAGGCTCTTCCTACTTCAGCTCCACTAAGGGGAGAATCAAATCCAAATGGTACTATGTTTCTAATCATAACTGGGAGCCAGGCATGACAGCACACAGCACGCTTCTTGCTTGCAACTGCATCAGCTCACATATCTTAGAGGTATTTTTCAGTCCAGTCAACTGATTGAGGCTTTTCTGATAACAATTGAAAACCGAGAGCTGCTGTGCAGCCACGGGTCAAAGTTACTGGAGACTGTAGTGTGAATGTTGATGAGAAACTTCAAAAGGTGCATAAACCACTTGGAAGCAGGGAGGGAGCCCTTCTTTGCTTTACATCAGCACAGTGGCAGATTAGCCACTGGGCCAACGGGGCCCATGCCCAGGGGGCCTGGTCAATTGGGGGATCCCCCAAAATGGGCACCCCTGTGCCCCAACCCTGCTCCCCAGCAGGAATCCCAGGTGGTGTGGGGGAAGCCCCTGTGCCCTAATCCCGGGACTGGAGGAGCTCTAGCTCCCTGCCATGGCCTCAGGGCTGGGGGAGCTCCCAGGTGCTGCTGCTGACCCAGGTCTGTGGCTAGGGGAGGGAGAGGACAGAGCTTCTCCAGTCGTGGGGCCGCAGTGGGGAGGGGATAAAATGGGGTGGGGCCATGGGAAGGGGCAGAATAGGGTGGGGCTGTCGGCGGGGCCACAGGCAGAAGGAGCGGAATGGGGGCGGGAGTGCAGGTGGAAATGGGGGGGAGGGGCCCTCACTTGCTCTGTCCCAGGGCTCTACAAAACCTTAATCTGCCTTTGCATCAGCAGAACCCCTCAGTGCTGTGACGCAGTTTTTTTCATGCATTATTGGGTCAGAAACAAAATGTAAATATATCAAAAGGGGCTTTCTGGGCATTTCATCCACTAGCCATTGCAATCACTAATGCTTTTGTACAAGCGTGTAATTTAAACAAAATTAATCCAAATCCAATCAAATTAATCTGAATCCAATAGTAATAAACCGAGAGGAAGATGTAGCTCCCTGTCCCAAGCTGCTTGCGTGTTACAAAAATGATCTAACAGACATACCAGAGTCTGAACTATGGCATGGTTTGTAGCATTCATGTGGGCATTGAGTGGAAAGGAGCATTCTCCATCACAGTAGAACGCAGCATAGCCCTCTGGTGCTATTATCCAATCCTGAAATATAAAACCATAAGCAAACTAAATAATAACAAAAACAAACAGACAATCTGAATCCTTCCCAGTTCAATCAATTGAAAACTGTATCACTATCATTCTAATTTGGATCTAGGATGACTGAATAAGGCATATACAGAAATACAATATTTGGAAAAAAATTGTCCTAATCTCTGTTCCTACAAAACCAAGATGAAAATTGAGTTAAACCTAGAAATATGTACTGAATACCCCCAACTAACCAACCAGTGAGGGAATTTAGCAAAGAAATACATTGGAACTAGCCTTTAAAATACTTTTCCTTCCACTTTGAAATTCTCGCAAGGGTGCTGGAACAATTCAGGTATCTAAAAGGGTGTCATAAGGAGGAGGGAGAAAACTTGTT